CGCAGTCTTTTCCTCGGTGGCAATGTCCTGCCTTCCAAAACTTGCAAATCTCCTTGCGAGATCCCGGTGTCAGCGATCTTGACCGAGATTGGCTGCGATCCTTACCCTTTCCCTTTCCTTTGCTTTTCTCGCGGCCTTTTTCGTGCTTGTAAGGACATGATGATCCACGCTTGCATTTTCCGGTCTTTTGAAACTCGTAGCAGATACCTTTCTTCTCCTCCGGAGCTGGCATGGTTGTGTCTTTGGACCCGAGCGAACGCTTCGTGGCGTCGCGCATCTTTTCCAACCTTCTCCGTTCAAGGTAGGCCCGGGCAGCAGTGATCAGGAAGTCGTACGTTCTTTCTTTGCTTCCATCGGCTGCACGGTCGTACAAGGCCAAATCATGCTCAAGTGGCTTGAAACGTTTCACTGCCAGGTGGAAATAGGCTTCCAGAACACTATTTTCTGGTTCCTTTTTCATTCCGGCAAGAACGCTATCCCATTTATTTATAAAGCCCTTGAGGTCATCGTTGACCATTTTGACGGACATGAGGTCTTCGAGTCCGTAGATTGCTCCATGCTTTATGCTCGTGGCAAAATACTCGTGGAACCGAAGGAGCAAGTGCCTACCCTTCACGTTCTTGTCTTCACGAGCACGCAGCTCCTTGAATGTAGCAATCTGCCGACCGAGGTCCCCCTCAGCGCAATTGGTCAAGCTTGCAAGAAGCTTTGCGTCGAGGGTTGCGAATCCCTCTGAATCATCCAAGGCATCAATGGTTTGGGACTCTTTGTACACTTTCCCAACCCATGACCTCGCTTCATCCGGCTTTGCTGAAGCTGCAGCAATGTTGTCCCTCACCTTGATCTTCCAGTCTCTGTACTTCTCAGGTGTGGGGAACTTAGGAATGAGAATTTTGTCAGCCTCTTTGGCTTTACTCTCATGATCCTTGTCTTTTGACTTCTTTTGCTGCTTCTTCAGCTCCTTGCGGATGATGCGTGCAAGACGCGATGATTCAGAACTTGAGTCATTGGAGTCATCACTCCCTCCTGACGAACTGGGTGACGAAGGCGATGGGGAAGGAGAGCGTTTCTTCCTGCGCTCTCTAGAGCGGCCCCTTTTTGGACTCCTCTCTTTCTTCCTCTCTTTACCTTTCTTCTTCTTGTCTTTCTTTGACTTGTCACCACCCTCTTCATCAGCATCGGATGGATGAGGCTCTTCACCGCCTTTGATCCCGGGCTTCTCCAACTGAGTGCGAAGGCTCGCCGGAGGCAAAGCTGGGGATACCTGAGACCCAAGTGGCTGCATTGTTGGTGCAGGCACTCGGTTCCCCGAGGCGTTGTCAAACCTCTCTCTCAACTCCTTGATTATCCGACTCTGTTCGGCTAACTCCGACCGAAGTGCATCCTCTCTTTGCTTGGCAGAGGCGCGTTCGTTCTCAACGACGGCGTGTCGTTGGAGTGAAAGGCGATCTAGGTAAGCCCGTTGTTCATGAAGATGTTGATGTTGATGGGCTTGATTCATGTCACTCAATCGTTGATTGGCTAAAGCCTCAATTTGTTCCCTAGACTCCTGGACAGCCACTTTAGCTTGGTTCTCCACTAAGTCCCTAAAATGTCTTGCATCATCTGCTGCTTGTTGCCCGTGCTCGGCCAAAATGGCCTGATGCCGCAGCTCCGCGATCTGAGCTACCTGAGCTGACCTGTCCTCATTGACAAAGACTGCTTGTTGATGGATCTGTCTTGCATCAACGTTCTGGACATTCATCACAGGAGAAAACTCAGGTTGAAACGGCGACGGGGCTTGACCACTAGGCAACAGGTCCCCCTGTGCACCGAACGTCGGTGGCACAACTGGCACACGCAACTCCAGCGGAACGACAGGGAGCTCAGGAGCAGGTGAACTGGACATCGCAGGCGAAGTGGGAACGTAGCCTGAGCGTGAGCGGTCGCCACGGGAAGCATCATCATCAGCCATGGCCTCTAGATAGTGCACTACCTATGGTGGGGTGAGACCACAGCTAGTAGAAAGCACGTACCGCACTTATGGCGATACGGCTGATAACCTGTAGTTACAGGTAAACGACCGAGAACTACCAACAAGTCGCACCTGGTTTTCCTTGAGCCAAAAGGTAGGTAAGTGAGACATGTATTAGACATCCTAGCGTGAAACAACAATTGCCTCGAGACGGTGTTGAGAGCCCCGGATCAAATAAACAAAAAGCTGGCAGGTACATGTTGCCAAGTGCCAACTGGAAGGATCTGGCGCATTCTGATGGGTTCCAAAAAGCCAAATAAGGATTCACCCTGACATCGTCCCCTGGGCCTTCTGCAGCTCGCTCTTGTGAAGCACCTGACTTGACAAGTTGACAAGGATTCCCAAGATGTCCCCCTGCAGCGTTGCCGGCAACAACACAATGACCCTGTCTAAACCTACATGACTAATAATAGACTTGGCTGATACAAAATCCATTCATTTCTCGTAGGATCTCATTGGCGCCCACAGACGGACTTTTTTCAGGACCTCGCTGGCAGTAATGCTTTAAGCACTAACATCGAGATCAAAAAAAAGGCGCGGGTCAGAGAGCATGGGCGCGTTATGAACCTATCATGACAAAGAAACGAATGGTTTGAGGATGTTGCATTTGTTCGTTGATGTTTTTCTCATTCGCTCATCCAAAACCTCCATATATATATATAGTTATATACTATTAGTTACTATTAATTTGTTCAGTTCATTCAAGGCCTTCATGAAAATCTACTGAAGCATGTACAGTAGTGTTCTCATGAGACATGCTCAACACTCAAAAACTGTGCATGGTATGCTCTCGCAGCCCTTCGCCCTGAAAGTTGAACAGTTCCCCACAAGTTGAATACAAGTCTCCCGGGGCATTTCAGCTAAGTGGACTGCAGCTGTGACATGCGCAGTTCGCGCAGCCACGCCCAATGGCAAAAGCTGGCTGAAGCAGGAAGCAAGCTGGTGGTGGCGTTCCCAATCGTTCCGACAAGAAAGTCACCATACACAAAAGAATGTCCATGTCTGGACAGGCCTGCGACACAAAAATGTGCCAAAACTCCTGGGGCAACGATGACTCGTTCACTTGGCTTCACTCAAAAGCTCAAGGCTGCTCGCTAGCGCCAACAGGACTGGTCGTTTTGCAACCCAACCTGCCAAGGCGGGGCAGGTACACATCCCTGCTCCATGAGAACTAGCAACAGTCAGGTAGGGTATCTGCATCTCAAATTGAACCAGCGCATGTCCAATGGCTGCTTTTGCCTGCTCGCACCGGGTGCGCCAATGACTCACTCCTACACTGCTGCTTCACTTCAGCCGAGCTTCGCCGCAGGTGGCGACTCCTCCACTTCCTCTCGTGTTTGAACTGGACTGAAGTGCCCGCACCTGAAGGGGTTTCGGGAGGGGGTGCTTGGGGATGCTTGGGGCAAGGTTGGGCCAGAACATTCATGAACAGTTATGCAGCACTTGATGGAAAAGAATTCTTAATTGGTACTTCTGAAGGGGGGCTGTACTGCACGCAGCACAGTAGAGCCAACATTAAGGCCATATCCTCCGTAATGTTCCCTCTTTTCACCTCCCACACTCTCCAAAGAAAAATGGCTAACCACCGGCCTCATGCTGCGGCGATGCGCCCAAAGGAGCAGGAGGTTCAGAAGGCAAAGCACAGAAGCGAAAGCCAGGATCATCGGCAACCTGGAAAGCGACTCCAGCTAATTAAAGGGATGATGAGAGATGTTTGTAGGGGAACCGGCTACCCTGAAACAGCCGTGCCATCCGTGGGAATCTTAAACGACCTACCTGGGTCTGTGGCGTCCAGCAGTCGAGAGCCCCGCCACAGAGCCCACGGCCCTGGATCAACAAACAAACATGTTATCTTACTAGGGGCATCACCTGAACTCTGATATTCTCGCACATGGTAAAGACTACTTACTAAAGGTACATCTCAAACAGCACCCGCATGCACCCCTCACCCTGCCAAACTGCCTGAGGCCCATCATCGAGAAACCAGCGTCAGCTGATAAAGGATCAGCCCCTTTCCTCAGGCCATGTGGCTGTCGAGTTGGTGTGTCTTTTTCGCTTGCAGGTGCCCAAAAGTGCGAAAAGGATCCCCGAAAAGGGGCCCATGCCCAAAAAAAGAACAAGGACGCTGTGTGGGGGCACACAGTTCACGCAAAAATGTCGCCGTCTGCCAGACTTAGAGGGCACATCTCCAACATGGGCGTCTTTAAGGTGGCAAGGTGTCAGGGTTACCTGCACATGAAGAGGTCACGTACCGCAGCCAACCAATGCAGCTTGAGGCTCACATATTGACGCATGCGGCAGTTCTCCCGGAGTTGCGCCTGCTCACAGAAGAAGTTCCAAGCAAGCTCTGGGCCGTCCATGATCTCATTGGCCCCCAAGCCCAACACCAAGTCGTGACCTGACAGTAACCGTCCGGGCCCCCAGGGCGACTGTCATGGCTACGTGGCCACACTCACGCTACCATGGTCTTGCATGAGGCTTGCAGACCGCACCAATCGCCCCTGTTAAACAACTTGCGTGTCATTTTTGAACAGGAGCTCTGAGAGGGCTATATTATTTCCATGTGCACCAGCAGAGTTGGATGAGTAGCGGCCCGGCTTACCCTGTTTTACCTAAGACCATTATGAGAATGAGGATTCGGCGTGATCCTGCCCAAATCGACACGAATGCGGGAACTTTGCAGTGAGCCATTCGTGGGAGCTTTCCCATCCGCATCCCAGCACCGAAAACGATAGAGCAAGGCGCAAAATTTTTATAAGGATTATTCAGGTTTTGTTTGTTATCAAAAGAATAATAAATATGTATTAAAAGAGTTTAAATATGAATTTGGTAAATTAAATGAATTAACAAAAAGTCAGGAACAAACTTGTATAATGTTATTTATTAAATATGATAAATGTAATTTATTTGTTTGTCAAGCTTTATTAATAAAAAAGTTATTTATGCTATGATTAAGGACTCGTGGCAGGGTCTTTTGAGCCCCGTGGTCAAGCATTGAATCTGACACATTGTGCACATGAAGTGGGAAAATTCACTCACCTACCTTGGGGTTATACACGCACCTATATGAAATAGCGGCATCCAGGAGACCTCCGCGGAACTCGCATTCCACCACCTTCGAGTTCTCAGCGCAATCGTAGCCATACTCGGTGCAGGACATCTGTTGACTATGCACATGTGGCGGCTGCACGAAAGGTCGCGGACCCTGATTCGAACACTTGTTGTAGTCCTTGTACGCCTTTCTCACCGCGGTGTCACTCGCCTCACTTCAGCAGCACTTGGCATCAAGGTTAAGCTGCAATATGTTGCAATCAATTCAATTTAATGCCTTCCAAATATCTCAGCCATCAGGCACCTCTACAATTACTTCAAGCAAACTCAGATATTGACGTTTAGACCAGCACTCTTGCAAACCAGCGGCGTAAATGTATCCATCCCACCATCTGGCGTGGGGCTTTGGAGTCTTTGCAGGGATGGTCCAATCCTCGCCTCCTTGAAAGAGCACCATTGAGACCGGTTCGCCTCCAGCTGTGAAGTTTGTTTCATAGCCTGGGCAACATGATGCAGGGATAGTGCTAGTGTCGGGTGGTTCGGCTAATGGCGGGCGGCTAGCTCAGTCTGGCCATTCAACTGTTGACGTGCAACTTCGGGGGCAATTGGTATCTCACCAATTCAGGCAGAGGAAAGTGGAAACCACCAAACAAAGTGACAAGGGATTGGAGTTGGTGGCGCCGGCTTTAGCTGAAGAAGCGACAAACAACCCGTTGCCTGGCTAGCAGTAGAATATGCATTAAAGATTAATAAATTGTATTATATAGGTTTCTCCATCTTGTGCATGTGCATGCGCAACCGAAGCGGTCACAGCATGCGCTGTAAAATGTCGTTTGTGCATACCCGCGCACATTATGCGATAGAACTAATTATATAAAGCTCATCTCTAATATGTATATAGGTGCCTCCCATTCTGAACCCACTGCAAAATGGATCAAAATGGTAGTAAGCTGTCTGTGTGCAACTGCAATATTCCCCGAACAGTTTGCACCCTGAAACATTAGGCTTAAACTCTCCATTTCAAAACTAAAGCTATCAAACCCAGTCATAGGTAGGATCTTAATCTGACAAATGCTGACATCTTTAAAATAACTTCAATATGCTCAATGTTCAAACGCGTCTGGCGAAGAGAGATGAGCCAATTCCGGGGCCATGCGTGGCGCCTACGCCAATTGGCCTGACCTTGTCCACTGTTTTCAGTGAGTGGCTACAAGCAAATAACGTATATAACCAAACCAACATAAACCAACCGCCAACCATTCAAGCTCGGCCCCTTGGCTCTCAGTGTCACCTAGAAACCACGGTGCGGCTTGGCACCACATCCCGCTGCGATGGCCTTGAACTTTCCGGGCGCTTTGCGAGCCAAAGCGTGCGCAAAGACACCGCCATTGGAGCACCCATAGGCGAAAACGGAACCTGAACAGAAAACTTGGGATGCCTGAGGAATAGTTGTTGGGCGAGGTCCGAAACGGTACAGAAGCGATGTCCTTTTGTCTAAAGATTTGGACACCAAACTGCAAGTCCAACTCACAACTGGCTGGCAGTGACTGGACGTCTATGCGCATATGAAGCCTAGGATAGATCATACTGGCTCCCTATCTGGCCCACCAATGAGTTGGGGAGTCTCTCTGTCTGAGACCAAGGAGCTCAGATCGATGCAGTACCTCTTTTCGACGTCGTCGAGAAGCCTGGAAGCCGTCCAAACATCGCAAACATTGTGATCCAAAGGCGCATCTGCGTGGTCATGAACTCTTTTGTTGAGCAGTGCCAAGGGGCGACTCTTGGGCTTGGTTGGGGTTTAAGTTGAAGTGATGGTTGTTTAATGTTGTTTAGCAACTTGATGCACTCGAGTGCAGAACCAGCGAGTACAATCTTGAACAACGGCCAGTCAGTTCAACGTCCCAACGAGCAGCTTCATGATGAACGCAAAATCATCATAGCCTCAGCCGCCGGAGCTGAAAAGAAAGGGCGACGGTCCTTCGGTGCACTGCACCACCACGAGAGACGCCAGCGGCGTCGGTCCCTTCTCTCCACCCTTCCGTGGTCGATCACCAAACGCCGAGCGGCAAGTGGTCCACGAACACTTCTTACACTTCCCATACTTGATGATGCAGCTCTGGTAGCAAACGCCTTTGGCCTCAAGGCGTTCATTGAAAAGCACCCCACGCCAGCGTAAATTGTGCAATCTATGGACAGAAAGAGTGTGGGACAGTTTGCAGTGCAAGTCCAGTTTGCTTAGTTTATGCAAGCTTAATGTACAACGTACACTCGCACAAACAACGCACGAGCAAGTTGGATGTCGCAGGTCTCAAGAGCCTCTTCAAAACAAGGCTTTATAAAATAACTAGGAGCAATCTTACTACTATTACCGTGCTTTACTAGTTTACCGTTATACATCTCACTGCCAAGCTGCAGTAACCTCTTTCGGGTCGCAAACCTCCGTTGGAGCATCTATCTTCTCCACAGTGGTATCCCCGGTATTCCTCAAGTATACAGCGCGTTGAAGACTCAGCTTGAAAACTGAGAACCTAGCCTGCAAATTATATACCAGAAGGACTTGATTGAGCTCGCTATGTTGTCGTTTCGATTTCGGGCGAGCTGGCAAGCAAAAGAGCAAAACTAGGTCCTTCCATCCCCTCCCTCCTGCCACATGTCCTGGGCACTCATCCACCGAAAACGACCACCAAAACTGACCACATCCACCAGGCTTCCAGGAGCGTTTCGGGTACCAAGCCCCATGCACGTCGCCTCGGTTGTCACAACCCCGTCATGCCATTTTTGTCCAATGCACTAGCAGTCACTAGCAGTGAGTGGTCCATTCGTGAGCACTCCAACGGCCCTGGTAATTAACATGTTTTTCCCCAAACAGTTTACTGTTGGGGTTCTATCTTAGAAAAAAAGAGCTGGCCACACTCACTGGCCGCGCCCCTGAACTCTGTGGCTGGGCCTTGTCCTCCTCTTCTCATCTGTGGCTGGGCTCTGTGTCCAGGCCTTGTCCTCCTCTTGTCCTTTGTGGCTGGGCTGTGGCTGGGCCACTGGCTGGGCCTTGTCCTTTGTGGCCTGGCTCTGTGTCCGGGTCTTGTCCTCCTCTTGTCCTTGTCTTGGCCACGCCCCTGAACTCTGTGGCCCGGTTTACTGGAGAGGAGTGTGTCCGAACAAATAGCGATGTCAATGCCGACAAGAATTCATTGATGACTCTTGGGGTGAAGGTAATTAAGGCGTACCAAGAAATCGTTTTTTGACTAATATTGGTCTAAACGAATCGTTTTGAAGCTGTTTGGGGTCTATGCTGGTATTATTTTATATATAGTTTTTCCCATATATTTATATCACCTCATAACTCACAACCCCCCAATAGAAACAAGAATTGCTTGGCAGTGGCCACCTTTGGCACCGTGAAACTTTTCAGGCTCGATGCGCCTTGCGCCACCCAATCGGCTCCGGACATGACGGATGGACATGCGTGACCAGGGTCGCTGCTGAACGCTCAACTGAACAAGTTTCTCACCACAAGCGAGTAGATGATAATGATAAGATTCTGGAATATGATGGTGGAATATGATGGAAGTTGGCGTGAAGCTGTCCACGGGAAGGATATAACAAGCACTTCTCGACAGGTTAGGAACATGAGCTGGCCTGTTGCAGCCTCTCCTGCCGGCTCTTCCTCGCCACCACAAAAACACGTTTGTGGTCCATCCAGAGAATGCTCCTCACCTGGTGTCAATCCCTAACCTTGGTACTGGTTTTGCTGATGTGCACCTTTATGTCACCAAAATGCCAAGCTCTGTGCCTCTATGCCTCAGCCATCTCCAGACTAATGCTTCCCAAACCGCCCGAGCTATTGCGTTCGGAGTTCCCCTCCATCCGAAAGCCAGGCGGCTTAAGCCCTCAGGGTAGACCGCTAAGAAGCCGGCCTCCTCGGCCAGTTTTCCAAAGGTGAACTTTTCCTGGGCTCGCTGCGAGGCAGGTGGCTACTAGCTGCTTTCCTAAGAAGCCATAAGATCAAAAAACTCCACTCCTGAAAGTTTGAAATCAATCAAAGGTGGGTCGGGTGGTTGATGGTGGCAGCGTGTTTGGGCACGCTCATGGAATAGAATAGAATTGTTGAATGTCTCGATTCTACACATCGGCCCCACCAATCGGTCCTGCAATTCCTTCCTCGAAGGCATGCAAAAAAGAGAACACCAATCTTGTGGCAACACTGTGCGAGGCGTCAATGAAACCGGTTACTTTTAAGGTTCCTGGAACCCAAGCTGAAGCTGGTCGCATCCTCTCAGACTGGCAGCTGGGGTCAGTTTGGCAACGTGAGCCGCTGGAGTTTGGAAGGCAATCCAGGGCCTGGGCCTCCAAAGTGCAAGATTTTTTTAAGTAGAGGTTCTATACTTGAGCTCCATGAGCCGTGGGATTTGTGTCTAGTGAGCCATCCTGAGAAACACGGATATACTTATGATACTTGGAATCGTTCATGTCCCTGTGTTTAGCTGATCCCCCAGAAGGTCCCTCTCCAACGTTAAAAAAAAGACACGTCGGGCATGGTCATGCACAAGAGCCACCCAGCTGTGTCAGTCCATCAAGAGCACCTTATACAAAATCCCGAAGCCAGCAGGGTGCTTTGAAGGTCTGAGGCCTCTACTCCCGAACTAATCCCTCACCATCTAACCGCAGAAAGAAGCCAAGTCACGTGGTACAGGTGAGGGCCCCCGCCCCATCCATGGAACACCAAGACCTAAGGATGCAAGGAGGCTAACTCCAACTGCTGAGCCTCTCCAAGTGCAGAGGTATTTGTCTTTGTGTCGTTTGATGTCGTTTGCGTCTCTGAATCTACGATCGCCCTGAGACTTGGGGCTGTGGCATGAACAGTTGCCGATGTTCCTATACATTCTGAACACTGCAAATTTATGCGAAGGTTGTCCCGTTGCAAGCTGAATGCCAGGATTGGTTCCAAGCACGTGCACAGCAGGGTGCAAGTACGCGACTGGAAAGCATGAAAGTCTCTGTCCCATAAATAGAAAAAGTGCGAAACACTGGCAGCAAGATAGGCCTGCAAACTGATAGGGAGTAGGGATGTTGTGCCAGCCGGCTGTAAGTCAAAATGCCTCTGCATCATTGATGATTGATAGTTCAGTTCTTGGATTGTGTTTCTGTTCCTACCTGCTCCTGGAACAGTTTAGCCCTGTGCTCTGGCACAAACAAAGGGTTCCCAAACAGCTGAAAGCCACTAGAGCTACAAGAAAACATGTTGTTTGAACAACAAGTTGCTAGTGGCATCGGTGCAGACTCTTTTCCGGCTGTTGGCACGTAGGTCAGCACTCTCCGGTCCACTGCTGGTAATCCGGGCCTTGTGAGGAGGAGAGAGGAGAGAGGAGAGATAGTAAGATCACCTGGCCACATGATTCTTGCTACCATTTCACTGGCAAAGGTGTGCAATGTCCACAAATTCAAAGCCCCCCGTGCCAAAAGAACCCGGGCTCGGAATAGCTCCCAAAAGTCCTGGGTTGGGGAATGGGACACCAGGTCAAATCATGTCAAATCCATGTCTACGATTGTTTATTCGGCATTTACTGCTTCAATGCGAGCAGCAGTGGGTCAAAATGGTCCAACCCATCACCGTGCCAGTGCCAAGCAGCTCTTCCCACCGCATGGTTTCATTCAGCAAAGTGCCCGCAATCGCCGCTGGTGGCGGTTTACTGCAACCAGGACTGGGGATAGCCATGGCGACGTGGCACCAGCTAGAGTGGCGCCGTACAGCCGTGAAAGGTCGCCTGTTAAGTTGCCTTTTAGTTCGTGTGTCGGAGGGGGGAGGGGGGGCGCGACGTTTCAATAAAAGGACCTAATTATATATATATATAGTGATGCAGGTCGGGCTATGCATCTGTTTCTGGATCATCGAGTGAAAGATTGGATCCTGGACTGGTGGACTCGAGCATTCACCTCACCAAATGGGGGGTGAAGCTTGAGCCGAGATCTTGGTCCACGACAAAAAACATGGAAAACACCGACCTTACTGCCCAAAGGGCGACTCTTGAGATGGTCGGAACGAAGGTGAAAGATTCAGAGTCACCTAAGATAGTCAGATAGTGGGGTGGCGTTTGATTTGAAGGTGCAGGAACCCTGCACAGCAGGGCAAAAGAAATGATTGGGACAACCTGATGATGTTCTGGATTGATCTCCAGAATGAAGCATTGATTCTACATTAAAAGTGAGTGAAGCATTGCTTCCACCATTTGAAGAATTCACCTCCAGATCTCCTCCTCCACCGATACCCATCCACCCCAATGATCTCTCTCCGGCTCTCCAGTAGCCCAGATCTCTCCCCGTCGGAGACCTTGATGGCGAAGTCCTTGCCGCTGGACAAGCCTTTGGCCTCATAGACGCCGCCAAAAAGGGCACCTTGGGCTGATGGGCCGAGGGCGACCGGTTGCGCGGCGGGCCAGTCAGTACCTGTGGACCGAAGACAGGCCGCAGTTGGAGATGAGAGCAATGGAAAAATCGAGTCAATGAGAGAACAAACTTGGAGCCCAAGACAGTGACAATTGTACAGAATTGTGATGCCATGCAATGACTCATGTGCCTCGTTCCCGGGTTTGCCTGGCAGTCCCTGATACAAGGTCGCATCGCCAATGAAGAGATCTGTCTTGGAAGCCACCTTTTGAACTTGAGGCTGCCATCTCAAGCTGAAACCAACCGAGCCAAGCGCTTTGTAGATGCATCACCAACTGGTACTCCTTTACATGCACAATCTCATGGGGACGGCAAGTCTAAAAGGCACCATTGTGCTCGGTGTGCACTAATTAAGGTCATTCAATATACATACACCAAGCCCAGCATGCGGTCAGACCGATCCACACATGAAACTCCTACAGGAGCGCAATGCCGTTGCAAACCGGGACTGGGATGTGCAGTTTCTCCAAGCCTTCTGCCCCCCGCTGTCCTCCCTGTTGCCCTTGATGTTGGGGCCGACCACCTGGCTGCTCGACTTTTGACAAGGTGTCCTTGCATTCCAAATATATCATAATATATATATATAGTATCTAGCTGCAAGAATCAAAAGTCCAGCATATATAGTATCGGCTGTCTGCCCGCGCACTCTGTCTACAGTATGTTGGAGATGCATCTCCCACAAAAAAATATCAAAAATGCTTATGCAACCTTACGCGCACCAATGTGTTCCTTATGTTTTGCTTACGCGAACCATTCGTATATGACAAGCCCACCACTAAACATGAACGGGGAGGTTTACAGAGTTGCTCAATTGTTCTTCGAGCCAGCAAGGTCAGGCCTCCAAGCCCCATTTCGGTGAGAAAATCCTGGTCTTGGGTGCGCCCGGGCCCTGCTACTTTCACCATCTTTCACTGGGTTTTGTGGAACAGTCCCGCACCCAAGCACCAGCGATCCGCGGATCCTCCAGCCGGTGATCGTGCTCGCCCGGTCCGCTGATCGCCCCACCTTCTGGGAGGAGCCATTGGTCGGAGAGCCACCCGACTTCCCCTTCGAAGCCTCGAGAGACCAGCGAGGACACGAGAGGGCCGAGAGAGGACGAGAGGACAAGTTGTTCGTGGCTTCCTTCGGTGAGTCAGGTGCCTGAAAAGGAAGGAGTCGACGTGGAACGCGTTCATGGCATGAGATATGGGGAAAACAAGATTATGAAATGCCTCTACAAACCCATCGATGACCACTTCGACGTTACAGGTAGTCTGACGCAGCATGTGGTTGGGGCAAACACATGCTCCACCAGCAAATCCTAAGTCAGCACCTTCGAAGGGGGTCGGAAGACTAGAGACCTTCAGTTTGAGGGTGTGTATATATATATATAACTTATATATATGTTGGTTTCTTTATTCTGTAGCTCAGATGTTCCCAAGAAGCATTATAATGGAAGCATCTCAGTACCGCATCACAAATGAATATAGCAACATTATCAAACCATGCAAGAAAATGGTCGACAGCCACAACCTGCAATAATGATCTACAGTGGTGCTTTAGAAGTGGATAAAGGACTGGGTCGATGGATGTGAACATTGTGGGCACCACGAAAGGATGTGAGATCATGTTCGCTGTTGGTGAAACTTGGTATCTTAAGGGGACACCGGGCACTTAGCAAGACAGGGCATGTTGCTCCCATCCTGCGGTCTATATCCGTCGACATGGAAAAGTCTCCCCAGACTCCTCGCACACTCAGTGCCAGGCCTTGGTGGACATGGCGCCACTTCGTGCCACAACTTCGCTTCTTAGGAGTCTCGTCCGTACTCGTCGTTCTTGGATGATCAACTGGTGTACTTTCTCGGGGTGGCTGGAGTGGACCGGGGACCCTGGGCGACCCAGGACCCAAGCAGATCATAGAAAAACACTGAAGATGAAGATCCACTTCACCTTGCTGCGTGGCCACAACCCCCCTTGTGGCGGTTGAAAGGCATTGTCTGATTTTTAGCTCTGACCCTTTGTGGCGTTTCGACCTGAGACTTGCGGTAGACAGATCGCCACATATCTCCACAGCCACAGGGACAGGTCACCATGTCTTTGGGGCGATCCCCTCTGCGTTGTCCACTGGATGCCCTCAGAAAGCTGTAGCCAGCAACAAATTGAAACAAGTGACCTGCGCCAACGCACACAAACACACACACACACACACGCAAACAAACAAAAGAAGGGTTCCCAAACTCTCTAAGAGCGCACTCTCTGCAACCGTGCGCCAACATAATGTTTTTGTAAATATGTATAAGCGCAATTAAACGTATGTAGAAATCTGATAGATAACACATAATGAAACTACATTACTATAGCTTATCATATATATAAAATGTGTATGTATATATATATATATATCTGTGTGTGTGTGTCTGTATATATATGTGCTATATTAAATATACTATAGTTGTAATTACTATATCTGATTATCATCATGCGTCTGCATCTCTACGTCCTTTTGCGACCCGGACAGCGGTATTGCAGGGCCACAACTTGGTGACATCCTTCCACATTCTTTGGATCCCGACTTTGGGGAACTACGACCATGCCGGGCGTGGGCTTGCTGATGCAGAAGTGACGAAGTGTACTCAATTCATCATTCCATGCCTCCTGGCATTTAGGGCCCTGATACACCTTTTCACTCTTTTTGGATGTGTAGTTTGGTGCTGTAACAGCCAGCTTCAGCCCATTGGGCCGACGACGGAACCCTGCTGACCATATCTGATCATGCACTTTGAACTTGACAAGAAGGATGCAGGACGTGCAGATCTGTGAAAGCAAATCCTGCCCCGGCATGATGCGCGGCAGATCGGTTGGGTTCTCTCCCCACTGGCCCAGGTGGGCGTCGCAGGTGGAGAAGATTCCCAAGAGAATCTCCCCACGTTTGAAACCACGGGGTGTTTCGGCGTGAATTCAGGTCTGGAGCCTGGGCGTTTCTTGAGATTGATGATGTTGAGAGTTACTAGAGCAAATAGAAAGACTTGCTAGACTAGCTGAAGAGCTCCTTTCTTCTATGAACTTCCACACGGTGGTGGGTAGGCACATCACCAGAGCTAGCAGAGGACATTGATCCCACAGCTGCGTTCATAGAAACTACAAACGCACATCCCCCACCCTGGCTGGATAGAGACCTGGTTGCTTTTGAGCAAGGACCCACATACAATGACTCACTCTTTAGAATGGTCTGCAGTCTTCTTCGCACAAAGGTAACTGAGCCACACTGGCAAGGCGTTCTGCCGGGGTAATGTGTACAAGTGGATCCTACATGCATGAGTGGGCCGCCCCATGACCAGTTGCATGGGCTTCCCCTGGCCCCGTCAAACAGTTCCCCCACACGCGACCCAGTTTGACAGATTTAGTCACCTTCGGAACTGACAAGTGACTGGTCAATGCCCCAGTTGATGCATGGGCTCTCTGTCCATATTTTCAAGCCCCAGTGGGAAACAAACATTGGGAAAAGCATGGAAAAACCACTGTCCAAACGGTGTTGCCCAAGGAGAACTCTCAAAAGACAGTAGCCACTCTGCCCTGGCCCTAGCACCTTGGACCTTTGCTGGAACGACTTATGAACGACCACGCGTCGCGGCAGGAAGGGTCAAGACGGTCGCGAAGGTCCCAGAGTATTCAGTCGGACTACGACACACAGGGCATAGGGTTTCCCACAAGGCCCGCCAAAAGAACAGCTGGCTTCCCCTCGGCCCTTCCCAGAGATGCAGATGTTCGAAGATGATTGAAACATAATGAAACGAAGGACTGCTTACAGTAAAACACATTACGAATCTGGGGCATGCGGCCGCCGTCTGCATCTAAATGCCTCAGCCTGTCAGTATCGGTGGCCAGCAGTTCGTGCATGCTTGCTTCAGCCAAACGTGATGACTCGGTAAAACCTCAGTCACAAAGCATGGGCCAAGCCGATTGACGACATGCACTAGGCAGTGCTAGGCAACCAAAGAATCCATCTAACCATTTCTTTCTGGACCCTCAACCTCTGTCTATGCCACCAGCTTGCCGCCGTCGTCTTCTGAGCCGAGCTTCTGTTCCACGAAAGCTGCCATCCCCAAAGAGGCAGCCCAGAAAAGCACCATGGAATCCACAGTGGATAGGGCTCTGGAGTGCAAGGTCTTCATGACTTTCAATCATATCCTGCGACAAACAGTACCCTGTTGTTCCTGCTGATCACAGGCTTGCTGGCCAAGAAAAGCCATACGCCCTTTCTCCTCTCACCTCAATCCTCCACCCTAGCTGCACCTCAGTCAGCTTTACTCCCTGAACTCCTTTTCACGCGGCCCAGTCAGCCTAAGACACCACATAAACCCCCGCCTGGTCCTCAAGGGCCAAATGAGGCAGATCAGCGTGCCGAAGCAAGCACCAAAGAGCCCAATGACATCCGCGAAGGCGTCGCAGAGGATGGACACCGCCGCGCAAAACAGTCAATACGAAACCTGACACGACGGCAAGGAGAGCGGAGGGGCGATGTGACGGGGACAAGAAGGTTGGATTTGTCGCGGGAGTGTGTTTGAATGTAGGGAGCTGCTGTTCCACAGAAAGGGTATCGTTTTTGATGTTTTATGTTTTAAGAGCATATCTTGCCGTCTTGCAGGGTCTTGACATGTCTTGACCATGTGCGGCATCTCCGATTGCTTTCTACACTCTTGGCAAAATGCCTGTAAGCCTGCAAATGTATCCCAGAAGCATGGGCAAGCTGAAGCGCACTTTTCCGCAACTCTCACTCCAAACATTTTTCTATCGTGCTGGCTGCAAAAGCGGACAGGTGCTCACAAGTTAAGCCCTTTACTGTTTTGTTAGCGTTCTGAGGACCTAAAATCGATGCCCAATGCCCAGCACGTCGACATAGATTCTAACCGGTGCGGGCACTCTTGATGATATACTTTTGGGCGGTAGTGAGAAGGTCTCCAGGCCGGTCACGCTGTGTGCTCTGAAATCCCAACGGCGAAACACAAGAACGGCAGAAATAGTGTCCCAAGAATGATGTCTTTAAAATCTTTAAAGAAGCTTTCATCAACTAAATTAATTGAAATATAACTATACAACTGTATTACTAACTGTGTTAATACCACGTGAATTTTGAACGCCAGTGTTCCATGAAGAAAAGGGCAACGCTTTCCTGTCTGTCAGGAGCTTCACTTGCCAAAAAAAGAACAGTACAGCTTCATTGCCTCGAGATGGTGTTGAGAGCCCCGGATCAATTCAACAAAAAGCTGGCAGGTACATGTTGCCAAGTGCCAACTGGAAGGATTTGGCGCATTCTGATGGGCTCCAAAAAGCCAAATGAGGATTCACCCTGAACGTCGTTCCCTGGGCCTTCTGCAGCTCGCTCTTGTGAAGCACCTGACTTGACAAGTTGACAAGGATTCCCAAGATGTCCCCTGCAGCTTTGCCGGCAACAACAAAAATGACACTGTCTAAACCAGATGACTATATAATAGTTAGAGAGGACTCACTCATCTTTAAGGTAGACCCTCATTACAAGTGACCATTCCCGACCATTCCAAGACTTGACTGATACAAAATCCATTCATTTCTCGTAGGATCCCGTTGGCGCCAGTATACGGACTTTTTTCACGACCTTGCTGGCAAGTAATGCTTATGCATTTTGCACTAACATCGAATCGAGGTCAAAAAAGGGCGCGGGTCAGAGAGCATGAAAAGTGTGCGCGTTACGAACCTATCCTTATATATATGATATGGTTCAAGGATGTTCGAGGATGTTGCATTGGTTCGTTGTTTTTCTTCACATTTGTTCATTCAGGCCCTCCATACTTCACAACTATTCACAATTCAATTTGTTCAGTTCATTCAAGGCCTTCATTAATTTACTGAGGCATGACGATGACTCGTTCACTTGGCTTCACTCAAAGGCTCAAGGCTGCGCGCCAACGGGACTGGTCGTTTTGCAACAACCTGCCAAGGCGGGGCAGGTACACATCCCGGTTCCATGAGAACTAGCAACAGTCAGGTAGGGTATCTGCATCTCAGATTGAACCAGCACATGTCCAATGGCTGCTTTTGACTGCTCGCACCGGGTGCGCCAATGACTCACTCCTACACTGCTGCTTCACTTCAGGCGAGCTTCGCCGCAGGTGACGGCTCCTCCACTTCCTCTCGTGTTGGAACTGGACTGAAGCGGTGCCCGCACCTGAAGGGGTTCCGGGAGGGAGTGTTTGGGGCAAGGTTGGGCCAGAACATGCTGATTTCATGAAAAGTTTGCTGCACGCAGCACAGTAGAGCCAACATTAAGGCCATATCCTCCGTAATGTTCCTTCTTTTCACCTCCCACACTCTGTATCAGGACATCATCCCTCCAAAAAAAATGGCTAACCACCGGCCTCATGCTGCGGCGACGCACCCAAAGGAGCAGGAGGTTCAGAAAGAAAAGCACAGAAGCGAAAGCCAGGATCATCGGCAACCTGGAAAGGGACTCCAGCAATCCAACAAAACCAATGGCCAAGATGTTTTGGTGGAGGTTAATTAATAAGAAGGATGATGAAAGATGTTTGTAGGGGAACAGGCTCCCCTGAAACAGCCGTGCCATCCGTAGGAATCTTAAACGACCTACCTGGGCCTGTGGCGTCCAGGAGTCGAGAGCCCCGCCACAGAGCCCACGGCCCTTGATCAACAAATTATAGGACCGGATAACCCCACATGTGAACAACTTCGAAAGATTGAGGCTGCAAAGGTAAAGTGCGGAAGAGTGAGCGTGGGGAAGAAACAGGCGAGACAGATATAAGGCGTGAGGGTCTCTGTGTGTACGTGAGGTGTGTGTTTGTGTGTGTGCGCTTGTTCGTCAGTGTGTATCAGTGTGTGGGTGGATGTATGCTGCTTGGCGCTTGTACTAAAGTTGTACTAGAAAGTCGCCAGTTCTCATCTTCCAGCTCCCCAGATACTCCGCGTACTAAAGTTGTACTACAAAGTCGCCAGTTCTCAGCTTCCAGCTCCACAGATTGCTCCGCGTACTAAAGTTGTACTACAAAGTCGCCAGTTCTCAGCTTCAAGCTCCCCAGATTGCGCCACGTACTAAAGTTGTACTACAAACTCGCCAGTTCTCAGCTTCCAGCTCCACAGATTGCTCCGCGTACTAAAGTTGTACTACAAAGTCGCCAGTTCTCATCTTCCAGCCCCGCAGATACTCCGCGTACTAAAGTTGTACTACAAAGTCGCCACCTGCCACGAAATCTGCACATGGAGGTTCACAAAGTGCTGTGCCTGCTACGAAATCTGCACATGGAGGTTCACAAAGTGCTGTGCCTGCCACGAAATCTGCGCATGGAGGTTCACACAGTGCTGTGCCTGCCACGAACTCTGCGCATGGAGGTTCACAAAGTGCTGTGCCTGCCACGAAATCTGCGCGCGGCGGTTCACAAAGTACTGCGCCTGCCACGAAATCTACACATGGAGGTTCGCAAAGTGCTGCGCCTGCCACAAAATCTGCACATCAAGCGCCGGTGCCCAGCCGACGCCAGGGCGTACATCCGACCCCTTGGCAAGCAGCAAGCGCCGCACACAGCACGCAAATGCTACCGGCAGAGCGCCGGTGCCCAGCCGACGCCAGGGCGTACATCCGACCCCTCCGCACACAGTGCACATGGAGGTTCACAAAGTTGCTGCGCCTGCCACGAGATCTGCACATGAAGGTTCACAAAGTGCTGCGCCTGCCACGAAATCTGCACATCCAGCGCCGGTGCCCAGCCGACGCCAGGGCGTACCTTGGCAAGCAGCAAAGTGCTGTGCCTGCCACGAGATCTGCACACGGAGGTTCACAAAGTACTGCGCCTGCCACGAAATCTGCAGCGCCTGCCACGAAATCTGCACATCCAGCGCCGGTGCCCAGCCGACG